TTGCTACGCCTGTGGCAGGATAGGACACATAAGATGGGACTGTCCCTACGGGGTTGGAGGCAGGATGCCTTGCCCCGAATAGGGAAAGCGGCAAGTCCCTCAAGCTGGCCCCGGGGTGAGGGAACCCAGGCGGCGGAAGATATGTTGGGCCTATGGGTGGGAAGGCCACCTGCGGTTGGCGTGCCCAGGCCCGAGGCAGAGGGTCCAGGTCAGCCCTGGCAAGGGGGCGGGACCTTGGAGGGATCCTGAAAGGCCCATGACAGCCAAGGAGCGGCAAGTCTGCTGGGGCTGCCAGAAATTGGGCCATATAAGGAGGCACTGCCCCCTCGGGGAAACTGAGGCGGGCCTGAAGGAGGTGCCTGGGGGCCTGGAGGCAAAACTAGAGGAGGTGGCGACTGGGACAGAGGGAACCCTGAGGGAGGGTGAGACCCAGAGTGTCACGGAGCCCATAGCAGAGAAGGAAACCCAGACCGAGTGGGGCTGGCAGGAGGCTGGGACCCAGACGGTAATGGAGAAGGGAACTGTGGGCACCCAGAACCTGAAGGAAGAGGGCCTGGGGGAGTCTGGCCTGCGTGTGCGGCTGGAGGCTGCAGAGCGGGCCCTCTGCGAGCACTGTGGACCTCACTAAAGAATATGCAGCCATTGTGGATGAGGAGGTCTGCTTGGGGAAGCAGCTGGAGGAGTCCGTAAAGAAGCGGGCGGCTTTGGAGGCACATGGGTGACTGGTCCAGGCCAGGAGACACCCCTACCCTCAGCGGTGGTGATCTTGAGGGGTGGGGTGTGTAGCGGGGTGGTCACCCGCTCTTGCTCTGAGGGGTTTAAAACAGCCCTGGACGAGGGCTGTGGAAGGGCAAGATGCTTGGGCTCATTGGTAGGAAGCTGACTCAGCTGGGGCCATGCCCCAATCAGGGCCCAGCTGGCCCTATAAAGGCTTGAGCCAGGAGCTCAAGCAGACAGTCTCTCTCTGACTGGAGAGGGAGACAGGCCTGGCTGCTTAGGAACTCACCCAGGGGATCTAGAGGAAGATAGGGCTGGGGAAAGGCCTTAGGAGCTGGGAAGCCCTGGGCCAGCAACTCCCCAGGCTGCAGGGCCTAGTTTTAGCCTACCTAGGTATCGGGCTTGCAGAGGGGCAGCCTGAGGGTGGGTAAAGGCAGCCAGTCCAAACCCCTTTGCCTATGATGAGTGGCTGATTCTGCAGTCTGCCCCAGTGAACGGGGGCTAGATGGAGACTGGGCAGTAGCCAAAACTGAGACAAAGTGGGGATAGGGGTGGGGGTCCCCCTGGGTGGGGAAAACCAGAGAAAGTGGGGTACTGCCAGGGGGGCAGCACCCAAGACAAGGGCACCGGGGTCCTGCGAGGGACACAGGGGGCAAACAGATCACTGGCCTGCAGAGGGCGCTCCTGGGTCGAAGAGCTAATTCCCGAGGACGACCAGCAGGAGGTGCCGCCGGGGTGAGTCCGCTCCTCTACAAGGAGCCATTATAGTTTATCTGGTTGATTATTCTCAGACTAAAATCCCTACATAGATCTTGCCTTTATGGCTCATATTGAGTCAAAAGGACCCATTAAACAGACTGTATTGTCAATGGTGCCTGCATTGTGCCAACAGACATAGGGGTTAATCCTGCACTCCTTACTTGAAGAAAAAAAAAAGCTTATTGACTTTGAAGAAGAGCTCTATGTAAGCTTGAAAGCTCTCACCAGCAGAAGTTGGTCCAATAAAAGGTATTACCTCACCCACCTAGTCTCTCTATTGACTTTAACAGGCATTTTGCCTGAGTAAGACGTGGAGGTGGGATTGCTTTGCAGTTCTGTAATCAAATATATTGTCTCCTAAAAACTGTTATGTTAGCTCTTGACGCAAAAGGCTGTAACACATCTGAGGAAGTCATTACAGGCTAGCAAGTAACAATACACTTTTTAAGAAATACCTAATCATATTTTTTCAGCAAATTCTCCATCCTTAGAGAGGCTCTATCCAGAGATAACTGACCCACTGCCTGAATTATGTACCCTGAGTGGAAGAGGTGAAGGTTAATTGTCTCACTCTAAAGTCCCCAGCAAAAGGGACTATTAAGATTAGAACATTACATTTAAACAAAATTTTGTAACATTTTAAGTTACTAACCGTTTGAACTTATCACCAGGCAGAGTAATGGGGAAATGCTGAGCAGTCAGAAGGCTCCAGAGGATTTCTAGTTCTTGGTAGAAACTCACCAGAAACTAAAGCTGACTTTCACTAGGGGTTTTGATCCAATGCCCATTGAAGCTAATGGCCATCTTCCAAATGATTTCCATGGGTGCTGTATCGCGCCCTAAAAGCATCTATAGTATGTTAGTAACTACTTTGATGGCACCTATAGAATTGCTACACTCTACCACTGGGGTAACTAGCAAAGAAAATACTCTCCAGGTTTGTTCAAGAGATGGGTCAAATCCAGAACCTCGAGGCCCAGGGAAAGCTTTAAGTTTTCAGATGGTTCAAACTTCTATGACTTTGGTTCTGTGGTCACACTCACAACAGGCCTCCTGGTTCTGGTTCAGATGTAGCTAAAACCCCACAAGATTTCCAACATTTCTGAGCGAAATTTCCACAGGAACAACTCATGATATTTCATCACTACTGACTCCAAACACAAATCTTAGCCCAAGCTCAGATTCTGCCTCAAATTTGAAACCCATACCTAATCAAGATCCAAACATCACCTCCTCTGATCATTTGTAGTTTATTTCACTCTCTTCTATATCACAAATAAAGTGAATATAGCACAGACCCACCAGGCATATTGTTTGACACAACACACAAAGCTAAGGTCACACGAATGCACACACAAATATAAACTTTCTCCACTGTTTCTAGTGCTACTAAGCTGGCCATCACATGTCCTAATATTGTCTCCCTTACACCCTCCCCCCCTTCTCCTTTCTGAGTTGTGAGGAGCCTCTTTTTTAATGCAAATAAGCCTCACTTGCTGCCATTCCTTAAGTCTGGATAAGCAAGAGAGGACATCCTACCCATCCTCTTTGCAGGACTTTTGCTTCCATAAGATCTAGTGAGGATTTAGATCAGAGTTACTTCAAATTCCCTAAGAATAGTAGCCAATTTCTAAGTTCACGGGCTGATTTACATACACCCAAGCACTTCTTACATGACTATTATGGAGTTAGCTCCAGTGTATGAGGAGTTTCTGTCAAAAAGAAAGTATCCTGGCTGATCCCCTAAAGTGTTTATACACCATCACATAACTGTTAGTTTTTTGTATCCGATCTCATACAATTCCCAGAAACAAAACCCTTATTAAAGTAGAGTTAAGGTTGAAAATACAGTATGTGTAAAAATAGCTTAAGAGAAAAGCCCTTAATAGAACACTGCTGTTCTAATTATCTTAAAGGCAGAAAAAAGAATCCCAGATATTTGTAAGCATGTAAATGCAGTGTTAAGGTACTCCAGAACAGTCCAAATTCTGTCCTTACATCCTGACAAACTACAGTGTATTTGGCTATGACAAGTATGATACCCACTAGAGCTGGCTGAAATTTTTTGACCAAAATGTTTTTTGTCCAAAAATGCAGATTCATGTTGATTTAACTTGATTGTTTTGATTGAAAACAAACAAACAAAATTTCCAAAAATACTGAAATGTTTCATTTCAGCCTTTTCAAAACAAAACCTTTTGGTTTTTCTATTAGAGATGACTTTTCATTTTGAAATTTTACCTTTATTTTATTTTTATAAAATTAAAAACATACAAACTGCTGGAAATGGGCGCAAAATGTTTTGTTCGATCTGAAATGATTCCTTCTACCTGAATTTTCATTTTGCTGAAAAATTTTAAAAGAATTTTGTTTCAGGTGAACTTGAAAAAATGACTAATTTTTTTTATTTTATTTTTTTGAATTGCCAGCAAACCAAACAATCCCTTATTCACACAGCTCTAAGTATCACTACTAGCAAATTAGTTAGAAGCCCTTACAGCTGGAGCTCTCTTAAATCCTGTATCATTTGACATTTCTCCTGTGGCCATCTTAAACAATGTCCATCTTAAACATACACTGCCTAGCAGAGTTTAAGGATTTCCTGGCTTTCAGATATTTAGTTTAAAACCTACAACATTCCACTGAGGTTTCCCCCCCCCTCGTGATAGGATGCAGGGGTATGGTGTAGAGGTAGGTTTAAGGAACCTTTACATTCCTCTGATCCTGGTGCTGTTCTAGTGCCAGGCCACTCTCCAGTACAAAAGAAGAGTAGCACAAATGCTGCTCTAATTTGTGCAGGCTGCCAGCAACTCTGCTGGCAGACCAAGATCACAGAGGAGTGGGGCTGCTCCTGCCAGCTAAGTCAAGTTTAGGATCTCTTCGCACTGCTGCAGTGGCAAAAAAATATATCCTCACAGAGGAGGATTGGGGTCTCAATGTTTCTCTTGTCTGTAACTGACACTGTACTGTAACTGTCCTGTGTCTACTACACACTTTGACGTTCGGCTCATGCAACATGCCTCGGACGTGACAACCAACATTCAGAAAACGAAAATGACAAACTCTGCAGCACATTTTGGAGACTTCAGAAAAGGACGTAATCCTGCAGTCTGTACTTAGGCAACTCTCCCCCATGAAGTCAATGGGAATTTTGCAGGAGTTAGCACTGCAGGATTTGGTCCCTCAACTTTTGAATTTGGAATGCTTCAATAAAATTAGAAGCACAAAGAGAAACACCAATACGCTGAGATTTTATCTTCAACAACTTTACTAATTCTACAAAAAGAACAGGAGTACTTGTGGCACCTTAGAGACGAACAAATGTATTTGTTAGTCTCTAAACAAATAAATTTGTTAGTCTCTAAGGTGCCACAAGTACTCCTGTTCTTTTTGCAGATACAGACTAACACAGCTGCTACTCTGAAACTAATTCTACAGCATTCCCTGTTTCCAGAACTAAGACAACGCTCAGCTCCTCTTAGGACAACAAAAGAAATAGTGAAAAATTTGTAGCAGGTTTTTACCTCTCTTGCATGGGTGGAAGTTGTATCCAGCTGTTAAACCTGGGATCATATCGACTGACAAAGTTTGTACTGTGTTTCCCTGTAAAGATAGATTATTTTGACACTCAACTGTTTATTTCATGTATTTAACATCACCATTTAGTATATTAAATATATTTCACATGTTGGCAGTTTTTATAAAGGGTCCCCTTTTTATAACAATGTATGAACTCAGCACATGTTGTTACTCAACAAATGGGGCACTACAGTATTTGAGCTAGCAAATATCAATGGTATAAATAAAAATGTAAAGAATATTCTTTCCTTCTGTAATAAGAACTTGGAAATTTGTATTTGAAAACAGAAGCCCTGGTATTTTCAAATCCACCATAAATAAAGTTCTCATGACACAACAGAAAATTATTGCTCAAGCTGGGGCTTCTTCATGGCATTTTTATGACTAGAGGACTTTGTGGCAGTTTGAAAAACCCCAGGAATAACATGTACTTTCCTTCCTTCCCACTTCATTTCTATTTGGAGCAAGGTGAAAAAGATTGTTTAAATAACCAGGAGCTACACAGATCATTAACATGTGTTGTGCGACCGCTACACTATTTTATTCTTATTCTACTACCCACCTTCAGTGTAAGTTAGCAGGAGTTATACATGTGCAGTGGGGGGAGAATATACTCTTAGACTCTTATTCCAAGTGTGTTAGCTAAAATGGGAAACATGAGCAACATAAGCCAGTTAACTACCTTATCCCTGCTGTCAAACCCCAGAATTGTACGCATGCCTTCACGATATTAAGATTGCACCTTATTTTACATACAGATTGACATCAAAACAAGAAGACTGAAGCAAAAGAGTGTATTGCAATTTCTGTGTAACACCTGAGACTTCCGCACATGAGGGTCTCTGAAAAAGAAACCTTTGTTTATGTATGTGTGACTAAAAATTGAATTAGAGGCTCCAAAAGATAGTAGGATAACCCAACCGTATACGTCACAGTTAAATAAATGATCAGAGGGTATTCTGCAAGGTGAATATTTGACATTGTCAAAGCATTTAAAGGATTGGTCCCCCTTGCCTCTTGTTTTGTACACAAACCCCAGGATACATTTATGAACATCAAACTCATAGATAAGAACAATGATCCAGCCACAGTTTTTAACTCTAATAATCTAAGAACGTGTTCTACAAGGATTTAGAGAAAGGCACATGTTGTCTTCTACTTCTGGAGGTAAATTTATCCTCTGTACTCTGTGTGAGCATGTTGCTTACAGGATGGGATGTGGTAGGTGACTGCTGAAAAGTGCAGTATTTTCTGCCAGATCCAGCATGTCCCTAAATCAGGATTGAGGCCCCATTTTGCTGGGTACTACACAAATATATCTGAAAAGAGGGGGTGAGATTCTGCCCTGTTGAAGGCAATGGGCGTTCTGCCACTGACTTCAGTGAGGCCAGGATTTCACCATGGTCCCTTCCTCAAAGAGATTACAATCTGTAAAAACAATGAAGAGATGAAGGTTCAGGGCAACAAATACAACATACAAGAAAAGCAGTTGGGTTGGTAGTAAGCAGGCACACGTCATGTTAACTCCAGGTCTTTTTAAAAAATCTGTTTATATATTTATATTATAAAAAGTACATTTACAGAACAGTTCATGGGCAAATACTGAATACAAGCTTGAATTCTGGGATGGTTCTAATGCTGCTATTGATACTACAAACCAAGATCTCAGAGTTCATTGTGCCCTCAGAACTCCTTGGTGGTATAACAGCTTTTTAACTGTTGTTACTCTACACGCCTCTGATTTTGTGGTCCTACACTTCATAACACATTATGCATTGGTGCTAGCACAGGAGTTTCCAAACTGCCCAGCACAACAGGCTTTAATGTGGATCCTCCAATCTATTCTTGGAATTCAGTTTGAAAGAAAATTGCATACACCAGTTCGCTTTGCCCGTCAGCTTGGAAGTGCATGTTAGGAAGTACTTCTCACTATGTAAAACTGTGAACTGCATTTGAAAATAAAGGGGTTGCTGTTCCTGTCCAGTGAAGTGAGCACAGCGGGAGTCAGATTAGGCAAATCTGTGCAAGGTGAATGGGAGGTGTAGCTTGTTCCCCCTCCCCCAAATCCTGCAAGAAAAACTTCTCCCTCAATTCTGCAGAGTCAGGGCTCTGTGAGGCAGTGCTAGGAGTGTTGCCAGGGAGTAGCTGCATTCTGCAATGTACTCCCTTACAGATCCCACAAATATTCAGTGCTGCTCTTGGCAGCATTCACCCCCACAGGGTCCCGTTTGTGGCTGGTACTGCATAGCCATGAAAGGAGGCCACAAATGACAAAATGGCTCTCAGGCTGCCAGGATGGAGAAGGAATCCAAAATATGTCCTGGAGGGTTCAGGTGCTCTCTCTAGAGGTTCCAAGTTGTATGGGGTTGGGAGCAGAGCTCCTCAAGTGTCTGCCAGTTTGGTGGCTCATACCCACTGCCCCTACCCCTAGTTTCTCCCATCCCAATGGGAACCTCCATCCAATGAACATAGAAGCAGCAACGAAGGCCCAATTTTGATTCACATAAACAAAGAAACGAACAATGAATTCTCATTTACACTACACACCATTTACACTGCTCTGACAGGTCAGTTACATTCACACCCCTTTTGAACCCCCCCCTTACACTGCCAGAGTTGTATAAAAGGCCCTTAATGTAAATGATATTGGGCCTAGTGTGTGTAGTGATGACATCCTTTATTTAGTCTAAATAGAGTATAGAAGAAGTCCAGGAATAAGTGGACAATGTACAGTGGATGACATTCGTGTCCAATTTTTTGTAATGTATCAGATCCATCTTTATTGGGGTATATGTGTATAGTGATCACCAATATAGGTAGTGCTCCTGTCCCAGATCCATTCTGTTCACACATCATGTTTATCTGGTATTTACAGAGTTTGAAAAACTTGATCCTGTGAGCTCATTTCTTACATGGAAGTTGTTTTATTCCTAGGGGGAGTGTCTTCAACTCACAGAATGAACTTCAGGCTCTAGTAGTTGATTTAGATACCTTTGCACTTAAGATATTAAGAAGGATGGACTGGTGGACCATCTGGTCAGGAAAGCTGGGTTCAATTCCTGCCACTGCCACAGACTTCCTGTAGGACCTTGTTCAAATCACTTAAACCCAGTTTCTTCATCTGTAAAATGTGAATACTTATACTTCCTTTCTCAAACCTTTTAGTCTGTCTTGACTACTTAACTGTAAACACTTTGGTGTAGGGTCTGTTTCTTACTATGTGTATGTACAGCGCCTAGCACAATGGAGCACCAAAAAACAGCCGGGGAGCCTGGAACTACCACAATACTAATAATAATTATAATGAAACAACATGTACAACAAGCTCCTGCTTAGAATATAGGAGATTCAACAACAGAGATGAAGGGTTTTTCTCTCAAGACATTTAGTGATGTTTTTAACTGCACCGGAAATATGCTTATAGAGTAGACTGGATTGTTTGTCTCAGAGTTTAGGAAGTGAACAGATGTAACAATTTTCTATAATTTGGTTTAGTGCAGATGCTGAAATGGGGCATTCACAATAAAATATATGCAGTATATGTAATTTCAGCTGGATCTTCTGGTGTTTTAAAGTAAAAATGTGTACCTGCAAGCTGTTTTATGGTTTCTCAGTCATAATTATCTCTGTTACACAGACTGCTACAACTACAACTCGTTCTTCATGTGCAAGCTTTCTAACAATGTCTTGACAATTTTGTGAATTTTGCAAGGCACAGTGTTCTCCTTTTGCTTTGCTCAGAAGCCTGTTAAATTGTTTAATTTCTCTTTGCAGTAAATTTATGAAGTAATCAAATCAAAAGAAGGTAGCAGCAGATAATCTATATGGAAAACTCTTGTACAAGACTAGAAAAAGGACCAGTTTAAGAGTCTTGAGACTCTAGATAATTAACACATTAACAACTTTAGCTGCAAGTGTCTGGTTAGACATTGGAAAGAGAGCATTCATTTACTGCAATAGCATTATTATATTATGAGTGGAAGGAAACTGGAAATGAGGGTTAAAATTCTTAACTGCTGCGGCCTGGTGCCTTCACTTGAAAGAGTCTGTTCTGATGCCTGTGGCATTTCCCAAGGGATAGGACCTGAGGAATAGTGGAGAAACTAAAGCTCCAGATATTTATTATGTCACTGGCTGGGACATAAGTGATCTTAACCAGTTCAATAACTCAATCAGGATCATTCACTGCCTACTGCATCACTTGATGTGATATATTAGAATCTGTGCATGCTCTCTTTTAATGTTGTGTACATACCATTCGGGTTCCACTGGTCTTCTCCTCCCAAAACGAACAAGAAATTTTCTACTTCCACAACACAGTGATGGGCACTATTATATGGCATAACTGCAAATAAAACAAAGTATTCTTTATCATTCTCTATCTTAGCACTCTGTTTATTTAAAAATAGCAAAAGGTACAAAACATGACTCTACAAAATCTGGAACTGGATATGTAGGTAATGCATAGCTCTAAATATGTATGTGCAGTGAATTTGCAGCAGCCAAAATCCGATCGATTAACAATGATTTCACATAAGGGTATCCTGCAAATTACTGAAGAATATCCATGTTACATGAATTACGGTTACTAAGACTACCCCCACCTGTCCGACTGACATCTACGGGCATTCTAAAAATAAGAGACACACGAAAATGGACCAAGATGTCTGATATTTCTCTGAAAATAAGACAGAAAATTCTAGGACACATTAAAAAAACCTCATCCCAGCTTTGTTCTGTTGGCAATGCTTCCACAGCAAGAGTCAGTGTGTTCAGGAGCTTTCTATTACACAGCAATGAACAAGCTGCATTTCCATACAGTTTTAAGTTTTTAAATTAAGGTCCTGCTGATTTAATGCTTTCTCCAAATGTATACGCTTAATTTCCTGTACAATGTCATTAGCAGCACAACCACACATTTTCTATTCATCTAATCAGGAAGCCCTTCATTAACAAAGATCAAAACTGTGATATTAGGTCTGCAATATCCTTTTTTGGGAGGTGTTTTTCGGATTGTTATTATAGGCCCTGGCTAAAACCATCAGACTCTATTTTTCTTTTCATTTCCATTTTCCACAGCAAGAGCTAAGGTACAAAAACAGACTGCTTATATACCATAATATATACTGATCTGTGTTATACAGCTCTATTGTAATATCATAAGGTAAATGTAAACTAACATGGTATTAGTTATTGTACCACATGCTGTAGTTTTGGCCCAGTGACACCAGTAGGAAAAATGATGTCCTTGTTCAGCTCATCATATGGGCACCTTAAATCTAGGTGAGGACAAATGGGGAGGTGATGTGCATGTACAGGCAGGGAACTTATTGCTTGACACGGATCAACAGAGCACTTAGGAAACCACTGCAGTGGGAAATCAATATGACTCAGGGCCAGCTCTTACTTTGTGCTCTTTTGCCAAAAAAAAAAAAGACAGCCTATCTCACACTTGGATTATTTTGGGTGATATATCTCTCATTTCATTTGTTTTATTATCTTTTATTTTTCTCAGAATGCAGTTGTGCAGTATAGCATATGCAAATAATAATAATAAGAAATATGCATAGCTTTGTTATTTAGGACACATTTTCTTAAAGATCAAGTGGGCTCATTTAAGCTTCTTACTGAAGTTTTTGCAAGGCAATGATGAATAAGCAAGGTGCATTTTTAGTTTTTAGTAAAGGTCGAATATTATTTTCATAGTCTGTGCTCTTACAAGCCATATAAGTGAAGCAATTCTTAAATTACGCAGCCTGGTTTAGTGGAAATGCATTAATGAAGGTTATTTGCTACTGGTAAATTTTATACAACCATGAAGTAACTGGGACTAGACACTCTATAGGGATTTTTACTATATACAGGTTGCTAGCATGCTGAACGAATTTAAACACCAGAGGTTTTGATATCTTATTAGTCAATGCACAGTGTTTCTCCCAAATGCAAAATATTTTCCCCATTCTTTAAATCTCAGTCACTTTCCCCATTTTGTAAACCTTATCTTATAAACTGGACCTTAGCCATTTTTCATGTAGCTTGGGTTGCAAGATGAGATTGTATTCCATAGGACAATAGTATTTCTTTCTCTACATGCCAAAAGGGACTCTCCAGCCCCAGCAAGCAGAGCCACCAACTAATACCTACACAGATACTCTGTTAGTTTGTAAAATTAGGATCAAAGTAATGACTTGTTTCCACAACCAAGTTCTCTCTTGTTCTCCTTTAGTCAATTCCTGAAAGATCTTGCATTTACCAAAAAACAAAATGAACACAATACATGATCCACAAATATTTGTTACCCTTTGTGTTTGCATTACTTTGTTTACTCCCCCACATTGGTACAAACAGAGAGGGTCAATAGAGGAAGAAATTATATTAAGTTTTTCAGCAACTGCCATGCACATAAATGATCATGTATCCAAGAGTCCCATGCTTGTGAGGACAACTAAACCTTGAAAACTAAGGGCTTAATCTTGCTCCCACTGAACTAAATGGCAAAATTCTCACTGACTTAATTGGTGCAGGATTGGACTTTAATAGCCCAAACCTTTAGTTGTTGCTCAGGTAGAACTCCTAATAAAGTTAATGGGAAGTTTACCTAAGTAAGGGCTGCAGGATTGGGCCTTAAGAGAAGAGGTGACTATGACACGAGTCTACACTAGCTTTGCTTAGTTTCCTGTAACATTATAAGCAACATTTTGTGCTCAGGGCTACATGAATCTCGACTGTGATATTGTGCTCTGCAAGCTCTGAAGGAGGCAGAATATCAGTTAGTATCTGAGAGGACCTTCTTGCCCTGAAATGGCAATATCCCCAAAGCTACATTTTTAACATTAAGCATTTTCAGTGTCCTTCATAATTCTGAATTAGTTATGAATGAAAACTATGATAATGCGCAAATTTTATAGCTCTAAAAATGCCCTTTAAAAGAGAAAAAAACCTCTAGTTCTAAAATGTAACTTTAAAAAAACAGGTGTCTTAGTTTTGCACACAGTCTAACTTTTCATACTGTATAATCAAAACATATGGGTGGGACAAACCAAAAGCTAAATTCAGGCTCCAATAGCTTTGGTGGAATCTATTGATGCCATTCATGTTACAAGGGTGTAACTGGGGCAGAATTTGGCCCATCACATGGTCTGGCCATATAGACCAACACTCTCATTAATTTTCTATCTGTCCCTTTGGCTGCTGATTTATTTTAATAACATGAATCTCAGCCTCTCATTTTTAGATTTCAACTCAGGTGAACACCTGCCTGCCCCACGAAAACGGTATTTGAAGAGAAGTTTGTATGCCATGCTCAAACACAGCCCAGTGTGAGTTTTTAGCGTGTCAGTCAGTGAGTTAGAGGGAAAGGGTAAAGAGAAGCTAATCAGGATGAAATGAGATTAAAGGCTGTCTAATTTTACAGCAACTGTGATCCATCAGCCACTGTGAAAGTGACAGTGGAAATGAATGATGGAGACAGACAGGTGGGGCTGTACATTTCACTGATTTATCCTCAAATGCACTGGGCCTTATTTTATTGAGTGAACATGACCGCATTTATCATGACTGTCATCTAAACCCACTTCCCTCCATTTAAAAAGGTCACTTTACTAGGAAGGAGTAGGATAGAGGCACTTTCAAAACAGATTTAAAATCTAATAACACATGTTTATAAAGCCCTGTGCAAGAATTCTCAACTTTATTAAACGAACTAGTAGAGTTAAAAGAAAGGGGGAAAGACCACTAAGTAAAAAAAGAGGAAGGGCCTTGGTTATTTGAGGAATGTGCTTAGATCCCGAGGTGATAAATGCCTTAAATACCCTGGACAGACAGATACAGATTAGATAAAATAAGCAGACATCACCTCTTCCAATCCTCCCTCTCTTCAAAGCTCTTGGAGCCTAAGATCTATCAACTCAGGTTCCATTGGACCAAAAATGGAACCCAGGAGGCTCAGCTCGCCTGAAGGGTGAATGGCAACTTCTCAGGTAGTTAGGTACCAAACTTTTTAGAGCTTTTTAGGTCAAAACCAATACCTTGAATTATAACAGAAAACAGGAAATCAGTGGAAATAATTGTGGAATGAGCTGCCTGCGAAACACCTCACTAACAAATGATCTGCTGCATTCTGCTTGAGCTGATGCTCCTGAATACTCTTCTGCTATAGTCCCATGTAGAAGACATTCCAGTAATATACACATGTAGTAATGTGTCCCCTGCAGAACTCATTAGAGTAGGCCATATTTGAGATGACAAACGGCATAGATAACTGTAGCGATGCCTACATCCAAAAACAAATGCTACAACCTTATAGCTAAGGACTAATAGGGGAAAAAAAAGCACTTCTTGGCCAATGCTGCTACATGGCTATCCAGAAGCAGTGGGGATCCAACAGTACACGCAGTCTGTGAACCTGTGTCACACGGGCATACTCCCCTGGTACACAGCTGGCCATGCTTTGCACTGCTCCCCCAATTCAGTTTTGTCATATTAAGTCTCAGCCAACTCTCTCTCATCCCAGGCACAATCTCTGATGGGCCCTAAAAACTACTCAGCTATGCAAAAACTCCTCTTGCTCCTCCCACTCCAGATTCCCCTGGCTGGCTTGTCCTCATTTCAGCACCAACCAATGAGCAGGTCGAAAGAACACGAGTGGCATGCTCCACGTCGTGGGGACTACAATGGGGATCTTTCTTCCTGCTTCCACCAAAGGAGGAGAGCTGTGACAGACACACACACACACACACACACACACACACACACACACACACATGCACATGCCTCCCTTGCTTTTACCCCTCGGCTACCAAGAGCTCAGACAGCACAGTCTGAATCTGAGCAATCTTATCTGCCAAAAATCCCCTCAGAAACTATACCTGACTCTGGTCTTTGATGTAAACAAATTAGATACGTAGCTTTTTCATGCCTAGAACAGTTTATCTGATTGGGATTTTTCAGGTGCTGTGAGGGAGGTAAAGAAACCTTTCTTCACCTACAGCACAGCCACAACATAGCATTTCAAAACTCTATATGCCTCAGTCACGCTTGTCATCTGTTGTAGGTCATCTGTATACCATCATAACCTGTGAAGATGAAGTAGGGCAAGAAAGTATTTTAATGGTCACTCTGTCAATAAGAGAGGACAAAAGGAGAGGATAATGCCTTTCAGGACATCAATATTGTGGTCTCTGGGCTGGACAATATTCATTTCCTGTGTAACCTGAATCCAGATAGTTCCATCAGCCTTGGGGAAGCAGACCAATAAAGTAGGTCCTTTAGTCCAACAGATCAGGGACCTGCAAACTCAAAACCGCACGGGACTGTGGTTATCTCATCCCCCTGACCTCCAAATCT